TGACAGCCAATATCATTTGTCCGGTTGAGCCAAATTGCCGTTATTCACAAATTTTTGCCCAATAATGTATACTTATAAGGTTCAAGTTTAATTTTTTTTCTTGCTCATCATGCAATGGTAAATTTATCAGGCTAAAGAAGAAACAGAATTTAATAATACAAAATCAAATTCTTTCATCTTGAATTACATTACAATGAGTTTACAACTTCTAAACTAGAATAATTGGAAATCTGTAAAATTCTTAAAAAAATCGCAAAAATAAACAAATTCTCCAAATTCACATCACATCGAGAAATAAATAATCCAGCTTTTTAAAGCATAATAGCTAGTTAGAATCTGCTGTTAGTTAAATTATTAATAATTTTTGAGACCCATTAGGGAATTATCATTTATCATCTGATTTTTTTAGCAAGAGAGTGGGTTCAAAATACATGTAAATAGATTAAATGTTTATATATAATCGTAATTATTTGAGGAGGTGGAAAATTTACTATTTACTAAAAATCAGCTGATAAATAACTTCCTTAATAAATCGTTTGATTAGTTCTAAATGAGGAAATTTTACATGAGCACGAAAATTTTTCTTGAGACATTGCAATGCTAAGTGTGTTGCATATAAAACTTATCTACCTAGGATAATAATGTGGCTAAAGCAGAATATCAGAAACGTTTCATGATAAATACGTCTAAATCTATAAAGAAACTCTTTACAATTTAAAGACTAGTTAAAATATCTGACAAACTATAATTATTTTCTAAATTACACTATTGAAAGAAAAAACATAAACACTATTCAATACCATCCCTTATTCTTAATTGCAATATAATTTTTATAGTAAAATCAGAATTTTATTAAATTATTTATCACTTTATAAGTTAACTCATTTTATTCTTACAAGTAGAGAATTAATTTTTTTAACTTACAAATCTCAAATTAAAAAACATCATGGTAATAAATTCTTACTTTAAAAAAATTTTAAAAAAATGCATAGTATAAGAGCTTAAAAAATTGCTCTGGTTCTATCTTACTAATATTATATTATTCTTTTCTTAAATTTAATAAAGGCTTATTTGTAATAAACATTATCACTTAACTATTTTCCGAATAGCTAGATGACATAATAAATTTCCTTTCTTCAATATATTTTGAAAATCCAAAATCAGTAATACTTCCTAAAATTTCATTTCTAAGGATCTTTGCAGGATGTTCAAAAAAGATATTAGTGTCACTAATGCCTTGTGGCTCAGATTGCTTCGTTACGCAGTTTTGTTGCCGTTGTTGTTGTTGCTGGTTAGCATTCTCTTCTTTCCTTAGAATAAGATTCACAATTCCAGGATCTATATTTTGCTTCCTTTCCTCTCCCTTACTGACTACTCTTGGAGCTATCCTTCTCTGCTTACTTCTTCTGTTATTGATTGAAGACTTAACATCATTCTTCTTCAAAATTGCTTGAATTAAAATACATCATTTTAAAAAAAGAGACAATTTAGATTAGCTATTAGAGTTTGTGCTTCATTTTTTTGAATAAATTTAATAAATAACTTTAATTACTTCTATTGAAAGTATTCTTCTTGTATTTGACGTTATCCTTATTTTTTTGTAGTTGTTCCCAATAATCTATGTCCGGTTTCCAGAACTTTTCGTTCTCGAGCAGTTTTCTGATTTGACTTTCATTTAAATTATGTTTTTTTAGAATCTCTTCAAAACGCAATTTTGTATCAGGAGACAAAGCTTCACAAGAAGTAATGCCAAAAACAGATATCATTGTTGGATATTGTGAACCATTTACATATTTTTTGCTATTATTAGCCCAGGAGCCATCATCAATAGTGTTTTTATCATCTTTACGGTTTATTTCGTCAGCAAGGCATCTATACCTTGGTTTAAGTTGTTCGAAACTATCCCAAATCTCACCAGCAAATTCTGCAAATATACGAGCAGCAAATTCACCTATTCCTAATTGCTTCAAAAGGTTTAGTAATATAGTTTTAAATGCAAAAAATGAGTTAATAGCTTTTGTATTTTTCTTTGTTGCATTTTTTTGAACAGAAAGCATATTAGGTTAAGAAAGTAATACTGAGAAAAATAATGTTGCGGAAAAAAAAAGTTTTCAAACAGACCAAGTTATGAGTGTGTAATCCGAAGTAACGAAAGATTTAACCAATAAAAAATTTGCCCATAAATTAACCATAAATTAACTACGAAACTGATCTGCTGATAAGCTTACCAGATAATTTATTGAGCTTAAAGCAACTGATGAAACAACTGAAACTGATTTCCAACGAAACACATAATGCATATTAAAGCATTGCTTCTACTTGCATAAGTTTCCTTTTTTATCCTGATTAAAGAACAGACACACAGCAACGCCAATATACTGAGTGATAGTGATTAATTAAATAAGATATGCAAAAATAAATACAATGAATTTTATTAGAAAGCAAACACTACCTGAAGTTTGAATCGCAAAAGGACATTTCATTGTATCTAAAAAAGGATTTATTGACTTGCATCATAAATACGTATAATCATTTAGGATAAAAATCAGTTCCTTTAGATAAGATGATGTGATCTGATAATAAAGGTAAGATTAGTACAGTACCTAAACTAGGCGCTTGAATTTCTTCAAGGGAGTTAGAAATGAGTGTGCTGTATTGTATTATATAGGTACATTACGTATTAATTCTAGAATAGTCTATCGCAGATTACACAAAATTTATGTTTAGAGAAATTGGCTAGTATTCTTGTGGCTATTATATTTATTTGTGCCGGTATACTTTGACTTGATTTTCGTGATATTGCACAAATCTAGTTAATATTATGCATCTATATCAGATCTCGAACAAATGCAGATTCATACTAAATTAACTACATGTTTGAGTTGTTTAAAAGGAGTATAATATGTTATATCATATTATATATTAATTAATTATAGTGTAATTTTCAAATTTCATATTGTAATATATAGAGCTTTTATTAATGATGAGAAATTGATTGTTTTTTATTTTGTAGCTTTAACGCATTATTTGTTGTTTTGTGGTGTTATACGTATTAGTACAAATTTTCGGACGAGATTTTTATACACTTCATGTTTTTATAATTAAGTAGGTATCTTGCCTTATTTCTTGTTTAATTCTACTACATCGGGAATATTTTTTGTATTCAGTTCTGAGATAATTATTAACAATGCAGATCACGATAGAATTTTTTATATCAGATCCACAAAAATATTAATATACAGATTATTATAAAATTCTGCGCAAATATTAAAATTTTCTTCAATAATCACTATCAATTTGAAGTTCTGCGCAGATCTGAATACATTTAATTTATTAAATATATCTGCGCAGTTATGTAACAAAAAAATTACCCCGATGTAATTACGTTCTATATTGTCTCTCACTACGATGTAAGGGGGTTAAGCCCACATAAAATTTACTTTCCGGATTACAACCCGGAATATAAAATCATTACCGGAATACCAAATCGAGTTGCCTAAATTAAAATAATTCAGTTGACCCGGTTAACCGATTAAAATTATATAAGCACGTGAAAAGATGAACAATGCATAGGGATGCTAACGACTCAATCGACCCTAGCGATTAAAAATAATAAAAATAATAAATATACAAATCGGGTCAAGCCGTTAGCATCCCTAACAATGCTGATAATGATGCATAAAAAAATTTTGTGGGTCAACCGGGTAAGCATAATTATTCAGTATAACCACAGTAAATATTGGTTCCCGGGAGTGGGCTTAAGCCCTACTACGATGTATTCTATATATCATATCACTTATTCTATCACTAGTGTTCATGATTTCTGTTATTGATTGCTGTAAAAATTCTGTTACAGTACTTGCTATTCTGGCGATCACGATATAGATAAGTTTGAATTAGATTGCATTGGAATTAACGCGATTTTTATTTTAAGTTACTAAAAATTATGACAGAACTTACTTCTATTTCAATAATCAAAATATGCGTTAGTTTGAATTGGAATTATCATAATTTCTATTGAGTTACCATAAATAATTACACATAAAATTTACTTGCCATTCCAGTGACTAAAGTATGTAGCTAAAATTGAGTTAACTTGCATTGGAATTACAATCATTTTTATCATGAATCACAGTAAAAAATTTCATCGCAGAATTTACTCATTGTTCCAATGACCATAATATATGGTTGAGTTTGAGTTAGTTCACATTGGGATTGCTGTGATTTTTATCAGTTACGGTAAATAAATATGTTGCCGAACTTACTTGCTATTCAGGTGACTACAGTAAGTGCTTAAGATGAGATTAACATGCTGCTGAAAAAATTCTGTTATAGAACTTGCTATTCTGCTTAAATGAGTTTACGATATTCCTCCGTAAATAAGCACCCCTCGGAGCAATTTTTATAGCCAAAATTCTCGTTATCTAATGATTGGATCTGTATAATTTGGTACATTTTGACGAATGGCACCAAAATTGTGCAGATCTAGTCACCAGATCACGAGAATTTTGTGCTTATTTTCAGAGGAATACGATATCATAATTTTTATAATGAGTTATTGTAAACAAATTTCTATTGTAGAACTTACTTATTATTCCAGTGACCATAATATGCATTAAAATTTCCATGGTTGGTTATTGTAAACTAGGCTAATGCACTGCATTGTATATCCGGGACCTAAAAAACGTAACTTTTGTCACGTGCGTGGACAGACATCCATATGCATCAAAATCGTTACTTCTGATACATCAAAACCGCAGCTTTTGATGCACTTTACTCGTCCATTAAGGATCCTCCGCTACGCTCCGGATCAATAATTTTGGTACAGAAGTTATTGCCATAATTGCTATCATGAGTTACAAAATTTAGTTACAGAACTTACTCACTATTCTAGTAAGAATAATAATGGTTAGGGTGTGTTAGTTTGCATTGAAATTTACATGATTTATGCATGAGTTGCTGAAAGAATTCTGTTACAGAACTTACTCGTTATCCGAATTAAGATATGTCTACATTGGAACTATCATGTTTTCTGTTGCGAGTTAATGTAAACAAATTTTGTTACAGAACTTACTATTTTAAATATCTGTTACGTATTTACATGAGTAAACCAAGAAAGTGCAATAATACTAACAAAGATATAATTTTGTACAAAAATTCTACCTATTGCAAAAAAAAGAGAGAATTATGATGTCAAAACGTAAATATACAAATTATATCTTATATAACAATATCATTGCATATTTTTACACAAATAGTAATCAACCTTTTTTTAGCTATAAAATAAATGTTATTAAGTTAATAACAGATATTACGTAATATTCTGAGGAGGAGGGGGCGCTGATTTTCTTACGTAGAAATATAAATTTATAATAGCCAATCAAATTTCTCTTACGTGGGGGAGGGGTAGAGAGTATAGTAAAAAATATTATGTAATATCTGTCACTACCCTTAATGCTATTTTATTATTTTTCTTTATAAAATATTCTCTGTACAAATTAATAAGCTATATAAATTTAGTACATAAACTTTGATTACATATATACATATGTACATTTGCACAAAAGCTTGCATTGGATCTAAAAATAAAAATATATGAATTGGCTAACAACTATTATTATACAGAATTGATCAAATATATGAATTGGCTAACAACTATTATTATACAGAATTGATCAAATATATATTTGTTCTGTAAACAAAGAAATACGTAATAATTATATCTTGGGCAGTTGGGTATGAGTGGGACTTTCAGCCCCGCTTATACACATAGTGCCCAGGGTATACTGTATGTTTCTGAAAATAAGCTACCCCTCTTTTCTTGGAGAAGAAACATAAGAAAAATCTTTATTCTGAAAATAAGCTACCCCCGATAATTTTTTAAAATCCAGAAGTAGTTTCTATATATAAAAGTCAAAATTCTATTAAGTAAATCGATAAAAGTCACTTAATAGAGGTTGTTCAGAATGTAAAATACACATATCTTGAAAGTTTGAAGCAAATCGGAGAAGTTTTTACTAAGATGTTTTTGCATTTTACGTTTGAACATAAAATATAAAAACATCTTAGTAAAACTTCTTAAATTTGCTTCAAACTTTCAGGATATGTGTATTTTTACGTTCTGAACAACCCCTATTAAGTGACTTTTATCGATTTACTTAATAGAATTTTTGACTTTTATATATAGAAACTACTTTCAGATTTTAAAAAAATAATAAAAATCAACCTTTTCGAAATTTTACCCGAAAATAAGCTATCCCAGGATTTTTGTGTAACTTTTTGGCCAAAAAATGGTAGCTTATTTTTGGAAACCTATGGTAACTGATTTATGTCCTGCAATCTTGATATAGTGACCAGGGTATAAGTATATATATATATCACAATATTGTTATAACACAAAATAAATATTCTAATTATCTTATTAACCTATAAATATATAAATATGCATATAAATAATTAGAATAGGTGAATTTTTTTTTTTTTTTTTTTAACTTCGACGATTTTGTCATTAACTTTATTACTTATTTAACCGAACATTACAGATATTATATATATTTTAACCTATCTAAGTAGTTACAATGACCAAACCCAGCTACCCTATATGGTGCCCAGATGCAACCGTCTGCACCATCTCACATATGAGATGAACATCCTCGAGTAACCTCTATCAAGAAGCACCCTAAGTTCTGATTTAACTCAGAACCTTAATATTTTTACTAATTCGTATATACCCCGCTATATATACTACTGTACAACGTCTATCAGTTATAATCCACCTCTCATTACTTATTACATTACTCCTAATCTATTTCTTGTATAACTTCCAAATTGGTGTCCTAGGAGTAGGCGCTTTTCTTGCTTCCAGTTTGGTGTCCCTCGAGATGTTACTTCAGTTCCTAATCCGTATCTCAAGCCAGGTGCTGCCGCTGTTCGAAGACTCGTATCTCAAGCCACCTGCTGCCGCTATTAGGAGAGCTGTTCGCATGGTTCCAGGCATTCACTTCATATACCACCAAATTAGGCTACTACTCTATTTATAGTACTCCCTATCGGTATA